TTTAGAATTAGAATCACTGACATAGATATTTATTCTCATTTACCTTTGTCCCGTCTGTTCTTTTTATAGAAAATGTAATGTATACTTTAATTGAAAGCTGACATTTATCTTCAGTACAATCGTCTTGTATTTCATTAAACAGTTTGGCATGTGTAGCACTTTACTGCACTTGACTAGTGCATGCTCAAGAGCGTAACACGACACGTGTTTAATTCGCAATGCGCTATAGTTACATATATTATAGGTATATTTGCAAAAGAAAGAACTTCATATAATTATATAGGTAAGCTTTCCTACGACTTAGGCCGCGAAAATTATAACCTGTCTCACTCGCGTATGATGTAGCGTCCCACAGGTGAAAACGGTCCATATCAAAAGGTTTATATATTTTTACTATACAAATTTCTTAATCCGAACAGACAAACAATATTACTATAGACTACATTTCTTGTAATTTACTTGTTTAAGGACTTCGATATCGGTTGTCTAGCTGGTTAAGCTTCATAAGCTGTTATAAATACATACTCGAACTCAACGTCTAGTACAGCGCTGCTATAACAAAGAATTAAATAACTTTTTACTTCAAAACGTAATAACGGTTTTATTTCATCTATTCTGTGGTAGCACTGTGTTCAACACCGAACTCAAAATTGTTGTTGAACCGAAAATCACAGCAGATTTGTCCCGATATAAGTTCCATGTCATATGGATGTCCATTTTAAAAGGACCAGGAAAAATTGCCTAACATCACTAATCCCATATTATGTTATCGGACTCGTTTGCCCAAGGATGATTGTGCTGGAAGCAAGGTCGCAAATCTCTCATCGATTACAACGACCACACGCAAATCCTCTACCCTTGACACAGAAACAGACCAGCGGCCGAAAGCCCAAATTATGTAGGCCAGGAGCTGAAAATATAGTTTTCTTACGGAAATTAACGGTTAAGCAGTTAGAACACGCTTATTAGTACTAAACACTTAAAGCTGCCGAAAATTTTGACGTAAACATCGCGTTATGCTTTGGTCTATTATCCACTATCGACTCGACTACTAAGAAAATTGAATTACGTTAGTTTAATGATGTTTGTCGTTCGATTTACTTGATTTTAGATCTTATTTCTAAGGTAATAATAACATACTGCGAAACAAGTATTGTCCGATTATTGTGATTTTGTTTTCTCATTGTAGGACCCAGGTCCTCCAGAGGTCTACCGATTCATTACCGCATTTTCATTTGTATCAAAATCAATAATAGGGGCCCAAAATCCTATTGTATTAAATGTTTGAGTTGATCAAAACAAAACGAAAATTGTATCAAAATCTATTAGCGAGTTTTAAAATTATTTGAAAATATATCTTGTTATTATGAAGATAGGTAAATAATAATTAATTGTGGCAGCAATTTGTTTTAAGAGGTTGATCGAAGTATTGGTCTATGTATGTTTCACTTTTTTTATTACTGTAAACTATAAACCAATCCTCCAATCAGAGCTTTCGTTTAGTTTTCAAATAGGTAAAGTTTCACTCTTTAAATTACTTTTCTGTCACGTCCTATCGTCCTATCAATACTCAATATCTCTACAAAAGCCGAGTGAACAACTGTTGTCTCTTTCTTCATAAAGTGACACTGTCGTATCATATGATAAAAGAAATATATCATATATGCTACTAAATATTGTATCATTAAATATATTTTGCTTTAAATCATTGAAAATTCCTGCGAAATGGTTGTACACTTTAATATTATAACTCGTTTCAATTGTTTAATTTACTTTAAACAGTTTTAAGTAAAGTAGGTTTATTGAAGCAATGTCAGGTGTACTGAGCATGCGTGGAGGGTGTAGGCCCTCCTCCTTGCGTGCTTGACGAATGGTTGGTGGTCGACCAATATAACCTTCAATGATAGAACCATGAATGAGTGATCTCGACCAGTGTATATCATTTCAATTTACTTTATCTATGTAGATAGTAAGATTCTATTGCATTTTTGCATCGGTAAAAATGCTGCATACTTTGTTACGAGTATGACAGGAAAATCATTGAAGCATTTGCAAAAAAATGTCTAAAAACTACGGCGATACCTAAGTAGACCGATAAGAAACTTAGATGGGAAGAGTTTTTAATTATATTTTTAAAACTTATTTTCGCAGTCGTGTATAAATAATTTGGGGCTACAAGTTTTGGCTCTTACAATTCTCATTGCAGTCGGAGGTCCATTCTGTGGAATATTTGTAGTCTAAGACAGGTCAAGGGACCTAAAGGTAACAAGTGCTTGCAAAATTCGTCAGTCCTGTTAGGTCTTGGGTAGCTCAATGATTAGAGCAGTCGCCCGGATTGCGAAAGAACATGGGTTTGATTCCTATCCCAGAGCGCCAGGGATAAAGTGGAGTTTTTATTTATTTATTTATTTATTTATTTAAAAGAAACACCAACAGTGCACATACTAAACTAAGTCTTAAATTGAACATAATTATAAAGATTCTGGTATGCACACCAATTATAGGTGTTTACAACGCTTACAAAATATTTATGACTAACGTCTGATTCTTATAGTACAAAATTTCTTCTTTTATTACAAAAACACAGAAAACACAGAAACAAGGGAACTTTATAAACCCATTAAAAGAAAACAAAGAAATATAGGTCTTAAGTGTTTCCGATACAGTCTTTACAAAATGTTTATGTGTATTATTAAAAATATCCAGATGTTCCGATTGTGCACACAGTCTATTGTAACTACGACATATTCTTAGCAGAGGTGAGTTGAAGCCTAAATTGGTTCTGGCGAGAGGTACGTTAAAAACGTTTTTGATTCTGTGACGAGGGTAATTGTGTGGTACGTTGAGGGATACTTGCTCCAAAATTTGAGGGCAGTCTATGGAGTTACGAACAACTTTAAATAGAAACGAGACATCGCGAATAGTTCTACGCTGTTGCAAGTTCTGCATCCCGAAATACTCCAAACGATCTTTGTAAGGTGTTCTGTGGGAAATTCCAGAGTACGTATATGCAAGCGACCTTGTGAACGCGCGCTGGATGCTCTCAATTCGCTGAGAGGGCTGAGCGTAAAAGGGATTCCAAGCTACGCTCGAGAACTCCAAACAGCTTCGCACGTATGAGTTGTAAAGCACAATTCTCGATAGGTACGACCGAAAACTTTTTGTATTACGTCTGATGAAACCCAGTTGTTTTGCTGCTTTATTCACAATGGAGTCAACGTGTGGTTTAAAAGTTAGTTGGCTATCAATCAGAACACCTAAATCGCGTATTTCATTGACTTCCTGTAAAGTAATCCCATTCAAAGAGTATGTTGAGTTTATGGGTGTTTTTTTTACGTGTATATTTAATGTAGAAACATTTCTTGACATTAAGATGCATTTGATTTAGGTCACACCATTCATTTATTCTATTAACATCAGCTTGCAGTAATTTGGAATCATTTATGTTGTCAATTTGTCGGTAAATCTTTAAATCGTCGGCGAATAGCTTATACTTGCAATTTTGAATGTATTTAGTTAAATCATTAATAAAAACTGAAAATAAGATAGGTCCAAGATGCGACCCCTGAGGAACCCCCGACTCAGTATAATAAGTATCAGATTCAAACCCGTTTACAGTTACAACTTGTTTCCGTTTATATAGATACGAGCGGAACCATTCAAGGAGTGGCCCATGGATTCCCATGTATTCGAGTTACACAAGCAGCAGCTTATGGTTTACCAAATCAAAAGCGCTGCTAAAATCAGTATAAACAGCGTCGACTTGTAATCCCTTGTCAACGACCCTGGCTAAGTCAGTTATAAGACTTACCAGATTAGTTTCGACAGCACGTCTTTTCGCATAGCCATGCTGGTGTTGAGAGAGAAGGGGGTTAAGATGATTTGAAACAATGGGACAGACGAGTGCCTCAAAAAGTTTAGCAAAACACGATAAGATTGATATAGGCCGGTAGTAAATTATTTCGTTTAAATTGCCCTTTTTGTGTATTGGTATTATTTTTGCTGCTTTCCACTCATCTGGAAACACCCCCAATGACAAGGACTTATTAATGATAATTGATAATGGCAGAGCAAGAGCAGATCCACAGCGTTTAACTAGTATTGGAGGGATGCCGTCAGGCCCAGGTCCCTTGTATATGGTTAGCTTCTTTATTTGTTTTAGCACTTCCCTCTCAGTGAAAAATATGCTGCTTACACCAGTAGCAGTACCAACGTACCCATCAGATACGATATTAATAAGCCTTGTGTTAGATTGTGAAACTGGAGAAGGGGGTAAACTGACTATTTTTGAGAAATTTTCGGCAAACAGATTGGCTATCTCACAACCTGAACGCCCTATTTTATCCTCCATACGCAGTTCAGCGGGGAATTCTGATCGAGTCTTTCGCTTGTCCTTTACATAACGCCAAAACACTCTAGGGTCATTCAATAGACTACTCTCCGTTTTGTACATATAATTCGAGTACAGAGAATCCAGCATTTTGTGGCTTCGTTCTCTAAGGATTTTGAATTCTATTTGGATTAAGGATTTTGAATGAGTTTTAAGCTTTTTTCATTAAAAATAATTGACATTTCTTTTCATTTTCGAAATTAGCTCAAGGTATCTTTACTAAATGAAGGAACCGTCTAAGTGTTATTGAATGTATGAAATGGCCTCTAAATATCAATGGTAACATTAACAAAAACATGTTACAATTGTTACAGCTTTAATGGATTATAGCCCCATCACAAAGACTGATGCAACATGAATTGACAATTTCGTAAAGAAATATTAGAATTATGTCAAGGTATCGAGTTTTATTAGTTAAAAGGGTTTTGTATAAAGTTTTTACATTTGCGGAATAATCATTAACTACCCATAGCTAAGCTTTTTTCTAATTAGAAGAAGAAATAACTATAGTTAAATAGTTTGTAGCTTTTTTAACTCATCAAATTCGCAAATCTATAGCAATTTTCAGAGTTTATACGTATTTTTGTATATGTAGAAGATATTGTTGAAGCTAAAGCACCTGTTTAAAAACATTTTGAAATGTTCTTTCAAAATTATTATTTGGATATCGGAATAAAATTGAATTTATAAAATTTTATAATTATTCCTGAACAATGCTTAAATCCACTTTGTCTCTGACATTCTGAGATGGGACTCGAAACCATGATTTTTCGTAATCCGGGCGAATGCTCTAACCACTGAGTTACCCAGGACTTAAGAGGACTGACTAATTTTTCAAGCACTTGTTACTTTTCGCTACTACAGAGCGTATTTTCACCAATTTTCAGGCAATCAACCCAAACAGCCAGGCAATAAATTAGAAGAAATATATTTACAAATATTTAAACTTTCGATAAAGATTCGTTTTTTAAGCATTTTTCATAAAGAATATTTTCCAGTATAGCATTGTGAATGCAACATTGATCTAATATAATAATTTTATAATTATTTGTATAAAAACATATAAACCTACGCACACCATTACATACAAAATCTTCAGCAATTTTATATGACCTGTCATCTTCCTGTCATATGTCTATTCATATAAGAAGTAAAAAATTCGTTTCGCACGTCTCCTTTGCCTCTTTTTTACTCGGCTTTACTCAACGCTCATAGACTACTCAAGTACGTAATAAAAATATAAGAAACAGTTGACTTCAAAGGCACCTTTTTTAAATGATGGAAATGTGTTACCACATACACTTGGTCACCAGCGCGGATAACCAAATTTATGTACGATTATCTCCCGCGAACCCACATTAGAATGGGGCGATTCAAATATAAGGACCATACCCACTAAAAACTACCTATATTCTCTCTACGAGGCAATGTACGGATGCATGGTATGAGTCTTGAAAAGGACCATATCCCTCGCCCTTCGCCCAGTATCCTAAAAGATACCTAACTGTTGTTAAAAGTATGAAAAGCATGCTCTATTACTTTGGACACAGGCTAGATCTAGTTCTTTAGCTGCCCCGGGGTAGAATAATTTTACTTCGCCTTTTATAGTAACAGTTATCAACTCCATATAATCTACCAGTATATCAATTTTGCCAGCCCTATCTTTGTCGCCCTGTTTAGTTGCCTGGCCTGCCTCCCGTAGATGAAGCCCTTTCAAGAGTTACGAAGAACATGGAAGAAAGAATGAAGTAACTGACATACGGACATACTGGCAATGCGGAAGGATGTAGAAGCCGAGGCAGATTTACGATCCACGATCAGATTGTAATACAAGCTAAGGAGGAAAATAAGTAGATAATATACGTTCGACGTTTAAGAAGGAAATGAAAGATTTGTAGCTTCATGAAGGTTCCGACTTGAAAATATAGATAGAAAGAGTTTTTAATGGCAGGATGGCAAGACTGGCACGTTTTCATTGATAATATGTTGAAGTTTATCATTGCTGCTGAAAATTTTATAATATTATTTTGGTGAATACTAAGAAAACTGGACTATATAACATACTAGTTTTATAGGAGCATTTAGTTCACGACACACTACTTCGAAACACGAGGGTAGAGCTAATAAATTGTAGCTGAAAATTAAGCTGTACGTTTCGTCTAGCACACAAAAATAGTACTAAAACTTATTTTTAAACTGCCACTATAAAGAAATTGGTAACGTCATCCATCTATGTTAGAACTACAACAAAGGTCATTTAAGACTATGCATGTCCATATTTTCCAAACCACTATTTAACCTCCTTGCATAAACGCTAAAAATATAATTTACTTAAATTCAATCAGTAGACTAAAAAGTTTCTTTTAAACAGAATGACGAATTTCCATACATAGTTTCGATTCAGTCTTATATATGCAGAATTTTCTCAACCGCTGAAGCAGCTGCTTATTCAGCCCAAATCAAAAAATTGAGTATCTACTCACACGAATAACTCTAAAGAGCAGTAGGTCATTTCTTCTAATATTAACGTAATAATTGCATCTCGATAGAATTTCAACTACTTTTGCCAATATCCACCTGAAGTCCAATTATTATTATATATGTTATTTAAGTAGTTGAGATTGTATTGAGATGTTATTATTACATAAAAATTAACAGACTGGGCTTTAATTTTAATAGTTTGCGTTCGACGATGATAATACAATGAGTTGGTCAGTAAATAAGGACTAGTCCTTTCATAAGTAATAAAGTATAAGTATATTAAAAATCGATAAAAACAGATCCGTACGTATATTTTTTGTTAATAAACTGTGTATTCGTAAATAAAAAAGTTGTTAAACACGTTTAACCAATGAGGTAACAAGCAAAGCTTGAAATATATCATTAAAAAAATACTCATCTCCTCAAACAAAGTTAAACCATTGACTGCTTACCCTTTGGCCTCTTGTACGTTCTTCTGGTATTGAGGTCATTTCAAATATTGTCGTGTTATTAAAATAATTTACTTAATTATAAAAAAAATACAAACTTGGTGACTATCTAATTTGAAGCAGCTTTGTGTGTAAAAGCATTTTTCATCAAAAAAGTAACTTTTTCAATAGAGTCTCAATATTCTAATAATCTTCTTAAATCCGAGATGTAACACCTTTGTTTGAAAAAAATTACATTAAAATAGTTGAGATAGAATTTTGTTTTAATAACGAAGTATCGTATATAGTACTTATTATGGTCACTATTGCACACTATTTTGTACCTTGGTACATTGAAAAATATATTCAAAGATGCAAAGGGACTTAAATCATTATTGTTCAATAAGTTAAAATGTTAAGCTTTTTTAGATCACTTACAACGGTTTATTGGTAAAAAGTTATTATCTGTGTTAAGAAGACCTTACAGAGATACTTTGGGGGTGCTATACTTTGGAATTTTCCCCATTTAAAAAAAAAGCCACACTCAAAAATATTGATTAAATATTTCTGATATTTTATTGATAAACGATCCAAGTGGCAGATTAAATAGAGCCTTACCGACGTCGGATTATTTCTCAAAAGAAAACAAACGACAATACGGAGCTAGATTCCTGCTGTCTTGGAACATGTTTTTTTTATTTTGATGTTGCTTCTTTGGTGTGGTTTAAATAATAATATTTAGTTACTTTGTGTATTATGTATGTTTCTTGTATTTTTTATTGATATACCTAAAAGTTTATTTTATGGATGCACCAAATTAATAAATATAATTTGAAATAAATAAGTAAATAAAATTATTAAAAACATTGATCAAAAAACGTGATAGAAATATATAAAAAATCTATAAAGATGCATTAATAGAAGCTGGATTCTCCAAAATCATTACATCAGCTTTGAAAAAAATCAGCATTATCTTACAGAGTTAGTTACAACAACAATGAAACACCAAACATCTGTGAGTACAATGACAGCAGTTCGAGACATGGCCGTCAGTTAATATCCCTTATTTTATAGCAGACAGCGCTGAAATCGAGCCTTACGGTCTTATCGCAATGAATAAGCACGCGAAATATGAAATCATACATGACGATCGTCGGTTGAATCAGTAAAGGCTCTGAGTTATCACGCGATGTCGTTGCCAAGATATCGAACATACAGTTATAGGGGAAATCGTTTGGAAAAACTTATATTGTAAAAATCTGCCAAGTGTGATTTGGACTCGAGCACTCGAGCAGGAATTATTCCATACCATTCTATTCCATCTATAATAGCTCGGTGGCGTAGTGGATAAGCGCCGCGGCCCGCGATCGTAGTCGTTAAGCAACTTTCGCAAGGGTCGGTCACGGGATGGGTGACCAAAAGATTATTATCTCGAGCTACTCCGAGCTTCGGAAGGCACGTTAAGCCGTTGGTCCCGGCTACATTTGCAGTCGTTAATACCCTCCAATCCGCATTGGGCCAGCGTAGAGGGTCATGGCCCATCCTCCTTAACCATCCATAAGGAAGGCCTGAGCCCCTGCAGTGGGGACGTAAAAGGGCTGGTGGTGATGATTATCTATAAAAACAACGTTTGTTATATGCCCCCTATTAAGTATTTATTTTACTTGGTTTGTAGCTTCAACAGAAATACATTATTTGTGAAAATATCTACTGTCCAACTAACATGCAAGAGATACAGCCTGGTGATAGGCGGACAGCAAATCTTACTAATAAGGTCTCATTTTTATCCTTCGGATACGGAGCCCTCAAAATGATAATGCATATAGCAGTGATATTTCTATCAATTTACTAAACCAAAGATACGTAGGTTCGTACGTGAAAGAATTTATAAAACCGGTCCAGTAGATTTGGAACCTATTCCATGCAAACAAACAAATCTTTTCACGTTATAATATCAGTAAATACACACATACAAAAAATTTAAAAATGATTATATAAATTCTCTCTACAGCTTCTATAACGAAGCTTTTACGGGAAGCTGCATCATACGCGAGTTTCGTAGTTTATAATCTATGCGGGCAAACTCACGGGAAAACAGCTAGTCTGATTTAAAATCAATACATTCTATTAACCAACAAAGAAAAACATATTTCAAAAATTATAATGTAAGGCATATTAACGGAACTATAACATTAATACCAAACATTTTTAATCTATTAAAGTCTTAATTGTCAAAGGTATTACGAAAAAGAGTTTTCAATGCAGTTGCTTATAAAGCGCTATTTTTTTAATCCATTGTAAACACCGAAAGTGAGTCTTTACACGTGTTAAATAAAAAATTTACTTTATTGCCATATCAAAACATTTAGTTGTCATAACAACACTAAAATAAAGAGTATTTTTTTCCGTTTTCTTTATTTATTTCTATAAACAAGTTCACTGGAAACATTGGATAAATCTATAGAAAGTCATAGGAGAGGTCTATTCTCAAACTTGCTTAAGAAGCTGTTTATTAAGTAATGAATGATATTTGATTTATTATTGGACATCATTATTCTTTGATCTCAAAACAGAGAGGCGAGATTTTGCATGAATTTATTTAAAACTTTAAAATTGCTATGTTGTAACTTATAAAGAAATACATGCCACAATTCAACCATCTCATTGGATTTGACAACCCATGACTTTTCGTTAACCAGCGACTGCTCTATAACTAAGCTACCGGAGAGCTTACGAGATTCTCGTGTAAGAACATGTTACTTTCGCTACTTGCTAAGGAAACTACGTAATCTAACGTAATAATATTTGACTTTAGAACTAATATAAAATATATCAAATATTTCATACATAAATATTGTAAACTCGTAAAACAACCATTGAAAATCATCTACAGAAACATTTATGTATTTGTGCAAAAAAAATAACAAATCTATTTTATACATTTTGAGTTTTATTGAAATACAAGCCGCCATAATACCTATAAAACTACTAAAGAAACTATAACGATCTTGATTTTTGTATAAGCATTTAACAGGATCTGTTACGATTTAATTTATGACGGACTAACAAGTAGGTTACACGTAAGCTACGTAGACCGCAGTTCTATTTCAGGGCAGAAAATATAATCTTTCATACTTTTATTGAGTAAACGGCTCAGTTTCTGGCACAAATGTTTCGTTAATTACGTCAATTGCTTTTTTTCTTTTAGAATATAGACCTTTTTGCTAATTAATGTTAGTTACTAATACGTACAGTGACGATAACGACACGCCTTCGATTTTTTATACTGATAATTATTATATTCTTACTATTGGAGTTTTTTAACATAAGATCTTCTCAGAACTCAAATATAGAGTAACGTTATATAATTTTATCTCTTTCTGTGAAAGAGGATGGTAGTGAAAGTAATTATGCAAACTCACCGGATCCAAGATCCCCGCCATTGGTACGGTGACGGCATCATCTCCACCGGCCGCCACCAGCTTCTCCAACGCCTTGAGGGTCTGTTCCACAGCCGGCCATTCCCCTTTCTGTGCCAGCATGAGGACCTTCGAGGCCACCTCTCGCATGTTGACCCCAGCGCTGGGTGGCTTCGGGACGTCCGCCCCACCTGTTTCCTTGGCATCCTTAGTTTCCTTCTTCTCCCCATTATTGGAAGCAGTCTCGTCTTTCTCTTCAGTTTTTGCTGGTGCATTTTTATCTTCATCGACGACGGGAGCCTTCTTCGGCGGGCCTTTGCCCGGTTTCTTGCCGCCAGGGGCTTGAGACATCCTCGCACGTTACCTCATGAATCCATGGCACTTCACTTCACTTATATGGCACATGGTGGTGTTAGTCGATGGACGGCTGAGCCATGACTGCGGCACGGCGTGGCCTCAGCCGCCTTGCATGATTCAAGTAAATAAACGCGCCGCGTCGTTTGCCGGATTTACAAACAAACTTTCAAGCGATGTCTCAGAATGTCTCGCGCCCATGCATTGACCCATTTTTTGGACCCATTATGAAGATTACACGTAATGATTTGCATAATTTCAAGTATTTTAGTTATTCATTCACTATGAAAAAAAATTGGATTTTTAATCATGGTAAATGGCTGGCTTATCTTTGTGCCACTTTTCGGCGTGAGAATTAACAATGGAAGTGTAAACTTTTTACAGCGCTTTTTAAAAGTTTTGATGACTCTGACTTTTATTGACTATTTAAAAGGTTAGTTTATAATAAAAGCATGTATAAATGATGTATTTTTTTTATTTAAAAATAAAAATATGTTTGTTTTGTATTCAGTGCTTTCTTCCAAATTTCCAACGTGAAAAATTAACACTTAATACAAGCTTATCAGAACTCTTTCTATACTAAGAAAACGATTAAACGTTTCAATTTTTCCTCGGCCAAATGACTTTGTGGTGCTTAATCAACGTCAAGAGAAATAATACTCTGCATCGCTAATATTCGCAATTACATATGTAATTTTATATTACAAACGAAGTGGTTTAGCAAATATTTTTTACATTTGTTTCTTCAAAGATTTATGTTAGATATTCTTTACCTGCCCTTTATTATGTAAAGAGGTTTTCTTTCTCTTCAATTATACATACCAAAACAATGTAAGAAGCTTGTATTTTAAAGGAAGTAGTTCTAATTTGAATTAGAAATAACACAGATTATTTTTTCTTAAAAATGTAAATGACTGAAGTAAGTGCGTAATTTCTATTCTATCCTTAAATTATTATTTTTGTCATTTAAAAGAAAAAGCTTCAAATTTCACCGAGTCAAAGTCAAAATAAAAAAAATATTTATTTGAATAGACTTCTTAAAAGTACTTTTGAATCGTCCAACATTTTTTCCCTACCACTCGTTCGGGACGTCTTTTGGCTGATAAGAAGAACGACCAAGAAACTCACCAGCTCTAATAGGAGTAATGACATTCACAAAAACCATGTCATTACCAGATCAATACATTATAAATAGGTGCTATTTTATTTATTATTATTTTTACATATTAGTAATGTCCCTCGTGTTCCCGTCCGTCTGTATACCTGAACGAGATAGCGTCTGCTGTGATATCAGTATATAGGCAGTCAAATATGCAATAAGATACATATTTTTTTATGATAAATTATGTATATAATTTTTTTTAATATTTTGTCCTGCTTCTGGTAGTCACCAGTACGGGCGCCCTTAGGATTACATAGGAGGAATGGGAAAACGGAGATAAAAACGATAAGTCTCTAAGACTAGTTGCTATAACTGGCGAAGACCCGTAACCGAATGGCCTGCATGCCGGTTTAAAGGAGTCACCATCTATAAGGCACCAGGTTCGATTCCCGGTGAAATGAATATAGAATATGGAATTTTCTATATCGTCTTGGGTCTGGGTAGCTGGTACCTTGATTGTTTCAGATTTTCTTAATACGATTGCTTTAGCTACTTAATGTATGTTGCCTAATATTTATTTTATTATTGCCTTTTTTAGATTGATCAGTATCATCCACTGGTGTTATTGGAGGTTCTATTACAGGCTCGTGTAGGTCATGTCTGAGGAGTAGCCAATTCCAAGTTACAGTCCATGGTCAAGCCTGTATTCTTTTGGTATCTGATCTTGAATCGAGGCCGCGGCGTCGCTCCCCCTCAACCGTCGTTCACCCGCCGGAAGTGGCGCGTGGGGCTCACGCGACGTTAACCACCACCTCTAGCCACCCCATCTAGTGACGAAACATGCAAATTCTCCGACCTCCTAAGGCCACGATATGGATCGTTTGGAAATGCGTTTGAAATGTGTTTTTCCGCCTTCTAATTTTCTTACAAACAAGGTCGAAGGTTGAAGGGCCTAGAAGTCCTTTGACGTTGACTCATTGAATTTGGGCCCTTGGTCAAACTTCACTTTCTCGATTAGTTGCATAAAGGTCAATTAGGATTTAAAGACAGTTTTGAGTTCTAATAAATAAATAAATAAAATGTTCTAAATTTGAAAATTTGTGCCGGTAATCATCCAGTTGCACAAACGTCCAAAATATATGCAAAATATAAGTACACGGTTGTGCAACTACCGAATGTCGCTTTAAACTTTATGCAACTGGGTGTAAATCAAATAAAACCAACTTTAAATGGTAATAAAGGTTTTACTTAATTGATCCTATAAAGCTGCGACTGCGCTTTCGCTGTTATATTTAAAAATAATACTAAAGCAGGCCGTTTATACGCTCAAGGCGCATTTCCATTATTCAATAGGGCCCGAATCTCGGGGAGCTGGACATATGTATAGATCTTCAATTGCGGAGGTGTTTTCACTAGTCGATAGGATCTGCATGCGGGATGCGAGAGAATATAATAAGAGAATTATTATTGCATGCGAAAAATACTTACAGGCGGTTATGAATTTACCAAGCTATATTTTAGAAAACAGGATAAGTTAGGAACACGAAAGTATATGATTAGCATATACTCAAGTGACCAATTAAACAATAGAATTAATAAAATAAGATATAAATAACAGGACAAGACAAAGAAAACAATAGGAAATAAGTAAAAATAATATAAAATAAAAATAAGGTAGCAAATAAATAAACAAAGAAAGAAACAGGACAGAAAGTAGTAAACTAGAATTAAGACTAAGGGGGCAAAAATAATTAATAATAGAATAACAATGTAAACAATAGATTAAGATAGATTATAGATAAACAAGATAGAATAAAAAAGCAAGAAAAAGAAAAGAAAAGGTAATAAAAATATAAAAAACAAAGCTGGAAAAATCAAACATAAAAAATAGAATAAGTAAATATAAGGAATATTGTAAAAGAAAATATAAATAGTAATATAATTAGAATAAGTGAAAACCAGAAAATGTTAAGATTAAACTAAGAAAACATATAAGAGAGGATGTAAATAACACAAGAGCAAGGAATAAATGTAAAATAGAATTATAAGTAGATTAAAAAAACACAATAAAATGTAAGGACCAGAAGTCCAAACAAAATAAAATATAGTCATAAGTACTAATAATGTAAAAAGAAAGAATATAAGGAATAAAAAGGACTGTAAAAAAAAAGAAATAAAATTAGAATAAGCAATTAGTAAGAATTGTAAGGACCAAGTCCAAACAAGATAAAGACAAGTCACAGAACAATGTAAATAAAAGGTATAGGAAATATGTAAAACAGAAGGATAAATAGGATAACGAAAGGAAAGTGTAATAGAAATAAATTGTATAAATAAAGAAAGAAATGCAAAGAAATATGTAATATCAATAAAAATGTAAATAAACTGAAAAAAATAATAATAATAAAATAAATAGAAATAAGCATGCTAGAATAAGAAAAGATAAATAAAAATGTAAGATATATGTAAAAGAAATCAAAATAAAGAAAATAAGTCTCCATTAATTAAAAAAAATAAATAGAATAAAAAAAAAATTAGCAAGGATTAGAAATAGAGATAGATGTGACAAATCCCAGTCACTCGAGGAATGAAAGAGAATAGAATGACAGAAAGATCAGGAATGCGGAATGAAAGGTGTAAAAAAGCCAGAACTGGAATGCAAGAGAAAACAGAATAAGAAAGGCCTGCTCAACAGTGGGGTGTAGCCAGGAAACTCGGCCAAAAATGTAAGGCCGGGCATTTAAAAAAAAAAAGCTATATTTTAAATGTTTTGATTTTGTTTAAGGCTGAATTATACTGGTCAATGAATTCCACGTGCGGGTTGCGGGCAATTTCGTTTATGTGTGTAGTTTGCTTACATTAGTTTGTCATTAGTCACTGACCAATCAGATGAGCCCGTAGAGATCGCCCGCACTTTGCGTGCTAATATCGTTGACACTGACCAGTGTAACTGAGCTATTAGTCCTTGTCCCCGCATGCCTTAAATCGACCAACTTATCGACCAAATATTAATTTTCACTGAGAATAATATCATCTACTTCAATTTTGTTGGTATAAAATATTTGGGTAATGCTGCCTAAGATGTTTTTGAAAAAACGAAGAAACAAAATATAGGAAAAAATATTTGAGCACCATAATAATTCTGAATATAACCATATCCAAAAGTATTAATTACATAGAAAAACTTATGTTATGTTCCAATGCATTTTTCTGAGCCATAATAATAGCTAAAGCTGAATGTTTGTGAATCCATTGGAAATATGTACATATTTTCTTTGTTCATGTCAGTTGCCATAGTAAAAGTAAGTACACCGACTCCATTAAAATCAGGAACATTGAACCCTATACCAATGTTAAGGTGAGTATCCAAACGGCGGAGTCAGCTACGGTTTCTAGCTTTTTAATAGTGACTCAACGTTAGCGTTTGGCAATTGTCGATGCTAAAAGTAGCGTCCTAGTACCATAGTTTAATTATCACTGTAGCAGGAGTCCAATCACATAATTCGCGTTTCGACGACCATCTGAATCGGGTATTAGCAGCTTCGAGGTTGACAACCTATCCAGTCAAGATATATCACGTATCGGACGTCCCTTTCCTTTTTCGATTCTAGATAATGACAATATATCATTTATTTAGTCGTACTGCTTGGTACATATACTTGAAAATACAAACAAAAACAGACAATTCTTTAATAAATAACTATATTGAGCACACCTATCAAATGTTTTTAACCGAATAAAAAAGGTGTCGTCCCAAAGTAACCCAAGTCCACAACCACGGTTGGAAAAAAAATTAAACAAAATAATTTATATGATACAGCCCCAGAGGAGATTGTCGTTGGAAGATCGTCAGAAGAGCACTATATACTATACACTATACACTGGGTATGTTCCGATATACACTGCGAGCACTGCGCAGTGGTCTTACTGCTGAAAAATCCGTTCCGTTATGGACTGCCAATACACTGCTACAGTACCGTAGGGAAATTTATGACGTCATGAATTGCCGCCATATTTGTACTGTGAGCACTGGAGGTTTCGAGGTAAGGTGCTTGCAGTGCTTTTGACCACGTGATCAGTCGAAACAGATAAAATAAAATACTTACGTTTATTATAAGATGGATTTAATTGATAAATATTTTTTTTATACAATTTTCCAATTTTATAATATTTTCTTTTGAAAAGAGAGAATCTTTATATTTATATTCACCTTGCATTAACAAATTTAAAAATGGCGCCAAAAATAGGATTAACAGTATACTGGACTGCGTTCCGTTTTAAAAAGTCACCAGTATAACTAGCTATAAAGGAACGGGCTTCCAGTATACTAAATTGACGTCATACTGTTGAGTGGTCGCAGTGTATATCGGAACATACCCACTATTCCACCTTCATGATTTAGGCTAATACTACGCGCGTCTATTCGACAATAGGTGTCAAAAGACAATAATGTAAATTAGATTGTTTGTTGAATAAGTGATTGTCAAGTAAAAGGACTCGAAAGAAAGTAGATAGATAGATCCGCCAATAACAACCACCCGCAAAATATTCAGTTACTCCCGTGATCATGGCGTTTCTTATGGCTGGTTTACACATGATTAAGTAGATAAATATTGTTTAATTAACTACTGTGAGCTTAATTAGATTTAACTTTCAACTTGCTACTTATTACTTATGTGTGTATTTACACGTACTTTATTACTTAAAATTAAGTACCGTTTCTAAATTGTTTAGGATTTATTATTTCTTTATATCTGGCCATTCATCTCAATTAATTCCTAAGCCCGCCGCTCATTACCAATGAGGCGCCACAAGCAAACCACCTTTTTCAAACAAACGAAGTTCAAGACATTGCGCTTTTCAACGTGTTACGTGCGGCTGCATAAAGTTCGAAAATAACATTTCCCCGCTTTACTATAAGCGTTTTCGGTGTGAAAACCACAAGGAGGAAGCTTTGAACAGTGACCTATGATAATTTCGTGTGGTCACTCAGCGCCTTGACCGATGTCCCGAGGGAACGTGTAGGCCCGGCTAAGGAGAAAAGAGGTGAGTGGCCAGTCTTCTTAACAATTTGTAAACCAGACATTAGTGTTATATTTTTAATAAGTTTGAAATCAAATCAAATCTCTAAGTTAACAACAATGCTGAAATGTCGGTAACTCGAGAAACATGGTGGCAATTCCGTATTAAACAATAATTCTGTGAAGGATTCGATGTATGGGTGAATTAATGAAAGACTAACTAACAATAAGTTTGAGAATTGATTTATTTTATGGTAAATAAGTAAAGGTCAAGAAAAAACTAACAAACAAAAAATAAATATAAAAAGCAGTTTGTAAGTTACCTAAATATAAAATTACAATTGCTAAATATTACAAATACATACCCCTTTTTGGACTTCCTTAATCTTAATATCGGCTACAAACGTAGCCGATATTTCAAGATAAAATTTTATTTTAAATAATATATAATTTCTATTTTAATCATAATAACGTCATTATTATAATATTTTATATTTAAATTTATACGATTTACAATAATATGTTCACACCAGATCAATTTTTACGTACTGACATTCATAAAGAGCATATCGGATTAGTCAAAATTTCAAAATACGAAAGGTGAATAATAAAAAGCAATGATGTTGAATATCAAAGACAAAAAGTTTGTATGCGGAAACCTAGGCCGAAGTAAACGGTGGTACAGCACACAGTTACAATTTTTATTAGTCCGGTCAATTTAGCCCAAAAATAGGGGTACGGTTAGTTTTATGCAAAAACATGTTAGACAAAAATTGTAGATCATGCAATTACCTACAAAAATTGTCCTTACACATTTTTTCATGACACTAACCATTTTTGAGAAAAAACAATAACAGAACTTTCTTACGCTGAAATGTCCATAATAAGCATGACTAAGCTGCCTACGATATTATTAGGCTTGTAATATAAGTAAAACTATAACTCTATGTGATTAATACATTCATATTGACCGATAATTCTGAAAATATGATGTTAAAAAAAACGGCAGCCCTAATTTTAAGGGACTATGTGCTCTTGAAACTCCATTTGGAAGAGCTATTTATTTATTGTAACCCGGTAAAGGTCAACAACCATTTTCATTTTCAAATACGAGTTTATCGGATTATCCTGAATGTAAAAATCATATTTTACAAATGATACAAAATCAGCAATGTTTCGAAGGGGTAAAACAACAATTTTTGAATTGTTTGAAAAAGAAAATTTTTTTACTTGTGCACAAGCTTTCGAAGATATCGAGTCTTTCTTCTGTCTGTATATGGAGTTCCAAAAAATTACTTCCATAGACAAATTAGGTTACTTATCTTTTGCATGTTTTGCAACAACAACGTAATAAAAAGCGTGTGCAATTAGCTTGCCTTCCTCCAACCGCGGTTTCTACTCACTAACATTTGTATCGTGTATATTCCCAGGTTCAGGTGTGGCTTGGTAATCAACTTGACCCAAAACAATGGGGTTGGAAGCATGTCAATAATGTATTGGAACCAATCCACACGCTTCTTTCACCTGTACCAGAAAACCTCCTTAATTCTATTTATTTGCAATTGCAAAAAGGGGTGTAACTCAAGATGCGGCTGCAAAAAAGTAGGCTTATTTTGTTCACTAGCGTACACCACTTGTCAAGGCCAATCGTGTTCAAATGTTGAATCTTCAACAGAAGAAGATTTTCACATCAACGACGTAACAGCTGATATATCGCTGTTAGTACAATTTATGTCAACTCAAAAAGACGAGGAAGAAGAATAAAATGGAGGCGAAGAAGAAGAAATAATTAATAACGTGATGATGAATGAAATATGTTTATAACCAAGTATAGCGGAACTTGTCACTTGGGCTGTATCTGATCAACAACGAGTACTCTGACAAGGGTACAACGACTGAAAAAAAGAAGAATAACCAAACAGTAATTAAATTTTACTGTAATAGACCGTGGAATAGGCCTACTGGGGAAACCACATTAAAAAAAAAGACGCGCTAGGTACACCACCTCATAGGTGTTGTGGAAACGTGTACATATTATAGACAATACAGCGTAAGAAAATTTTGTAATTGCTTTTTCTCAGAAATTATGAAAAAATGTGTAAGGACAATTTTTGTAGATAATTGCATGATCTACAATTTTTGCCTAACATATTTTATCATAAATCTAATTTTTTCGCTGAAAAAATAAAAATAACCCTTTTTTTTTTGACCTTGAATAATTTTTTTTGCAGACATGGCGTCGATGGGGACTTCTCGCAATTTCATAACAATTGTGTCCCTAACATCTATGCATATTTTCAGCTTTCTGGGAATTTTTGCAAAGGTCAATGTCTAAATTGACCGGACTAAATGTTAATCGCCACTAAAAATAATACGATAATTGGTATATTACCGTATTATTATAAAGGGCATTATTAACTATAATAAGTGTGTTTATCTTAAAAATTGTACCATTTATCTAAACTAAGGCCTTTGCTAACCAATGTCCGGCGACGGGTTGAAAATGAAGAGTACGACAAAAGAGTATTGATCTTTAAAAGATCATCAATTCAGTCCGCCACTTACTGAAGGAGAACTTCTTTATTTTTACGATAAAAGAGGTTATAACATTTTTGCAAGTTTGATTAGTAATCCAATACGTAAAGCAGACAACATATTTACCCACTTTAAGTTTATAATATATTACAAAGTTATATGTCTAAAGATTTCTATGTGTTCTTATGTTAATAAAAACAAATGAGGATGATTTTTGGTAAGACTGTAGTGCACCAATATTACAAAACATTTATTTTAATCATTTCATTAATTATGTAGGTATAGCAGCGGGTATAGCAATAACAAAATAAACCGTGAACGATATTACACTCAATAAATGCTTACGTACAATACGATAAGCTGATAATATTTACATCTTGTCAAACCAGTTGATGATAATGTTACAACAATTAATTAGTGTAGTCACCAGCTGAGTGTACAGTGGTAAACACTTGTTATTATCATAAACATGTGGAAAAAATGTGTGACAATTAGTACAAAAACATTTATCGGATCTAATAATTTAAGGTAAGATTTGTGCTTGTTAGTTGTTCTACTAATAAGGTTATAACTCGTAAGAATTAATTACACCTGAGGGCCTTGCTTACGAACGATAATTGGATTTCGATTTGTTATTTAACTTTTGTAAAAATCATATTCGTGAAGATTTGTCTGAGCATCAGAAGTAACACCAATCAAGTCCTACCTCCGTTGCATCATAAATTATCGAAAATTGCGTTTCTTTGGAGTCTTATTATGTTAGCATTTCGAAAATGAAACTTCGTGTGGGAGAAATAGAATATCCTCCAGGTTTCATGCTAATTCTTACAAGTAATAGTGTGATGAGTAACGTCGATGGTCGAAAGGCTTATTAGTAATTATTAGTGTTTCTAGATATATAATATTGCTGGATTAAAATGTTAATGTTACCAGAGGTTTATACACTCAAGAAAAGTTTCAATAATATATTAGAGTTCTCTGACTTCACTGTTGATCATTATTATGTTGTCTACATAATTACATCGCCTAATTAACTTATTAGATCTCTCTTATTATCACACTCATCGTATTCAGATGACTGGTCACTAAAAACCTTTTTGTTTCATGTTCAACGTTTTTAAAAATTTCCAAATTACGATATGTCCAGTTCCTCCAGTTCCATTAAGTTCCTGAAATGTCTTTAGACATTTCAAGAACTGGTTCCTGGTTTACCCTGACATATCAAATTCCTAAAATGTCTAATATATTATCATGATGGATTTGTTGAATACACAGATGAATTGATGATGCCATTTAAAGAAATGCTATACCGGTTTTTCTTTAGTAATTTATGGGAAAAAATGTACTTCTATTCAATGTATATATCATTTGAACTTTAATTAAAATAAATAAAAAAATTACGTGTCTTACTCACAAAAATAGTTATATCTAAAACCTAATAATGTTATTATTGTTTATGATTGTTATCTTATCAAAGCGATATCGATTGATACATATCGACCGAAAGGTGCAATGTTATTAGGTTTATATTTATTTGACAAGTGTGACTTGTTAAAATCTAATGGCTGATTGGTCAATGGGGTCCGTATACGGAGAATGGGTGATTTTTGTGGCAATATCTTTATTTTTATTTCATAATTATAACAAAAAGTTTTGCGTGCTAACCAATACTATGTCAGCTTTATATATTTTCACCGATTTCTAAAGAAAGTCGATTATCAATTTGATCTGTATACTATTTCGTTGGAATTATTATTATTACACACACACACACTATTATTTATTTATTCACAAACTTTTTTAACCATCGAATTGAAATAATTGGTTGCGTGAAGCCACTGGATGCGGGTAGCGCAGGACCGATAGTCGTGGAGATCAATGGGGAAGGCCAATACTCAGCAGTGGGCATCGTGCGGCTGTTGATGATGATGATGGTACAAGAGGCGGACTTAACGTTTATCAGCATTGTCTACCAGTCAACTTTTGGGACACAGAAAAACATGATGGTGGCATAAGTGAACTAACAAATATACAAATTTTAATATATAACTGACAAATATACCTACGGCCACGCAATCTGTCGTTAGTACGTGATCTTTTAGGATTTGGAAACATATTGAACAAAATACATTCTTAAATTTCTCAGATTGGTCCGACACCTCCACAAGGCCCCATCAGATGAGAGCTACTTGCACCACCCGGGCTCCGAACCTCTCGCCAACATAACCCTTTCTGAACAACTGGTCCAGGTGGTGAACCGATACCCCAACCGTATAGCCTTGAGATCTGTCTATGAAGACCTGTCACTAACATACGATCAGCTGTTGACTCAAGTAAGATAGCTTCTTTTTACTTCTTATCTCATGCAAAAATAATATTACAATGGAATCAAAGCTATACCCATATATTTTTATTGTAAAGCAATTTCGAACATTTTGACAGTTGTATAGATCCACCATATTGGTACTTAGACAACTCACTCCCGGTTCCGCAAAGGGTCATTGATATTGTCAATATTTTAAAGTATAAAGTCACATGACGTTTAAGTTAAATTTAGAACATTTATTAAACCTTACGCTGTTAGTACACTGACGCATTCGCTTGTGAAAGCAAACAGGGTTGTCACCTTTTGAGAAATAAAATTCATGACATTAGTAATCAGAAATAGGGACGGGTGGCGACCCTGAATAATGACGTTTTTCGCAATTGACTGCGAAACCGTACTGACAAGGACGCAGTTATATCATCGAACTAATGATAGAGCGAGACAGACTACATGCAATATACCGTACTGTATACAACTGTCCATACAACTGATTTCGCAAATGTTTTCGCATTCGCTTGCGATCGTTGCGCGTGTACTAAAGGCGTTATAGGACGTTTGTGAAGCTGGGTTTTTATAAATGATCCCCGCTTCTATAAATTTTAACAATTACTAGTTTAAATTTTCTATGGACCGCTACTTCATTTGTATATTATTAACTCTAACAATATTGTGTGCCGTAAAGATAGGAGTAAGTATAAATTAAAATGTTCTGTAGAAATATAGAATGGCTAGCTGACCCAGCCACGCGTTGCGGTGGCTTAGTTGCGACCGCAACGTTTTCTTGAAAGATATTAAATGAACGATATCGTTAATTTAAAGATAATTATAATAATAATAATAATAATAATAAATCTTTATTTCACTTTTAAAATTACAGACAATGGTGACTATTTTAAGAAATTACAAGGAAATTTATGTAACTTAGTAATATGAGCCACATCTCCCAAACTAGGGTCAACCTGTATTTTGGGAGTTGCGATTCCTCCAAAATCATTTATTTATATATCCTTGAAACCTATTTTTTTCTTCATAGTGATCAAGCTTGTTTATTATTTACGTGTATTCATGCGTGTGTAAGTGTGTGTGTTTGTGTATGTGTGTGTGTGTGTGTGTGTGTGTGTGTGTGGTGTGTGTGTGAGTGTGTGTGTGGTGTGTGTGTGTGTGTGTATGTGTGTATGCAATTACATTTGTCTAAGGCAACAAGTCTTTGAGAAATGTTAATTGAAAAAGTTGTATACCAACTGCAATCATTCGATGGGTTACGCGAGTTTTTATTACTTTTCTTGATTATTTAATTATCACCATTCGTTCCGAAGGCGATTGCGACTTTAAACATTACACAAATCCATAAATTGGTATCACAACCGCTATACCTTCGAAAAGGATGGCAACAGATATTGAAATTAAACAGTTAAGCCCCCGGTACCTGATATAGCTTTTTATCGCATAAAACAGATATAGTTTTAGTACCTAAATAGATACTTATTTATGAGGAAAATATAAAAAAAAGTTTTGCCTGCGTGGTCCCTAGGGAAATAAATCCTATTATCTAAGTCAGCTAAGACTCTATCTGTATACCAAATTTCATCAAAATCCATTCAGAAATTTCGGCGTGATTGACGGATAAACATCCATACAAAGAAACTTTAAAAAAATCAAAATAAAATCAAGTACCTGTACAAGGAAAGAATATAGGTAGTAGATATTTAGATATAATTACATCACTGCAATATTACAGGCTGATGCTTTGGGATGTGCTCTAAGGGCGCATGGCTTGGAGAAGGGTGACCGGCTCGCTGTTTGGTCCCATAACACCGCAGCTTGGGTTGTCGGGATGGTAGCAGCCGCACGAGCTGGCCTCATAGCGGTGAGTGAAGTAGACATTTTGATGCACTGTCGGAATATGGTCGGCTCACATATCTGACGGAAAATGTCTCGTGTATCACTAGTCTTATAATATTAGGAAAGACGAGTATTTAGTATTTGACCTGGAACACATGCAGGCGCGGATATTATTACCGATTCTTTAAATAATTGCATTAATATACCTACACCGATGAAAAAAAAATGACTTTGCCTGCGTAAGTTACCTATAGCCTATATTTGTCGTAGGCCAATCGTTGAATTGGGTTAATCGAGATCTGCCCAGGCATATCACGATATGCCGCCATTTCTTGATTTGGCCAGGAAAATCATGATCGGCTCAGTTAAAAGTTGGACAGATCGACGAGAGCGACGTATTTGACGGTTTGGCCGATTGTTATTTTTTAAATAAATAATTATTAATTAAACTTCATTTTATTTGCTTACATATAAAGATGGATAGGAGAAAATCCGGGTTCTTGCCAATCTTTGCTTAATCTTTGCTTATAATACTTTGGTCACCCTACCAAAATCGATTGGCCTAAGTATAGTCGGAAAATCGTCAAATGTTAACCATTTAACGATATGGCGGATGATGGATGAATAAAGAAATGGCGGCATAATCGTGATATGATCAGCCCATTTTAACGATTGGCACACGAAATATGATACAGGTAAAATGATCCAAGATTGCCCCCGGGATCCGCACCTGTACGCTCGTCGTATGATCCGTGACGTATTAACGCATACATACTTCCGTGAGACAGTTCACGAATTTCCTGTCAGGTGTATGCGACCCTAGTCAATGAATCTACCAAAATTTAATGTAGTATTTTCTCTTTGACCTATGGTTATAATGCCTCATTTATGATGGCGTATGCTTATTCGTCGCTTTTATACTTCTTGTGTAGGTTTAGTTGGTTCCTAAAGAAAATGCTGTAGGAAGTCACTATAACGATAATAATGTACATTAGACCATATTACACGACTCAGCTTCATGTTGAGTCTGGGTGTTGTGGTGACGAAGGTACCACAATACCCAGACTGGAGATAATATCAGAAACAATACAGAAAAACTCATTTTCTACATTTACCCGGTCGAGAAACCGCGAGACGGTGACACCTTGAAACCGACGTGATAACCAATCAACTACGGAGGTATAAACTTATTATTAATATGAAAATGAGATAGAAAAAAGTTTTAGTAAAAAATATCTCAAACAAACCCATTAGATATGTTTAACTTTTACATAGAGTAACAAATGATTACTTTATTTCTTAGGTATTCATAAATCCAGTCTACGAAAAATCCGAGCTAAGCTACTGCCTGAGAAAAACTGGTGCGAAAAGTGTGTTGATCAGTGAGAATCTACCAACAAGAGATTATTATGGGAAACTACGAGAGCTCATACCAGGTCTTCAGGATCAGAAGCCTGGACATATATCTTCTGATTTGTTCCCGGAACTGATATCTATTGTTTCTTCCAGTAAAGAGAAACTGGGGTAAGTGGATATAGAACATCTAATAAGATTTACAGACGACTTCAAGCTCTAATTAATGTTCTAAATTTGTAAACCTGTATCGGTAATGTCGCTTTAAACTAATGACAATTTTAATGGACGCTTGTGCAACATAGTGAATTGATATAAATCTCATAAAAAAAATATTACTTAGTCTAAACAGGAAACGTAGATAAAGCACACGTAAATTACAGCCTATGTCCACCTCGTATGATGTAGTTACCAGTCCAGTCCAGTACCTTAGAGCCTATTCGATGCAAACAAACATACAAAAAAGAAACTATCAAACCTTTCCTCTTTGTAATATAAAATAAGACATGAATATTTTTCTTAATTTCTATTTCAATTGTATTATTAATACTATCTACTGAAAAAAAAATCCTGTTGTAATATTATCCATTTAACATGCATTAGGCAAGAGTACTATAGAGCTAACAGGTGTTCGGATGTTGCTCACATCACAATTCATTCATGCACTGTGCATATAACAAAGGCTTAAGTGAGCTGACAGTGATGTTTCCTTCTAACTGTGAGGATATTTTACTACTTTGACTTATACTTTATTTACGATGAACAAATGATAAAGAATCACGATTATGAATTTGACACCACTGTTACCAAATCAGTCATCATCAGCCCTTTTACGTCCCCACTGCAGGGGATCAGGCCTTCCTTATGGATGGTTAAGGAGGATGGGCCATGACCCTCCACGCTGGCCCAATGCGGATTGGAGGGTATTAACGACTGCAAATCCAGCCGGGACCAACGGCTTAACGTGCCTTCCGAAGCACGGAGTAGCTCGAGATAAGAATTTTTTGGTCACCCATCCCGTGACCGACCCTTGCGAAAGTTGCTTAACGACTACTATCGCGGGCCGCGGCGCTAATCCACTACGCCACCGAGCTACTCTCCATCTCTCACCAAATCAGTCAATTATCCCAAATTATCAATCAAAAGATACGTTAAAGAAGAAATTTGTGAAAAATGAAATATCGATAAGATTCTTTGACTAAAGTCATGTCTAGAGAATTAGATAGTCGCACCCCTAGGCAAGTTCGTCCCACCGTAGATCTTCTTCATACCCATGAGCTGTATTGAGACGACGATTCAAACCTTATTAAATAAAAAAGACAGCGTTTTAAAGTGAGGTAGGTTATGATGATATTTACCGTAATTTTACACGCAGAGGAACATTCAATTATGATGCTTTGCTGGAGGATTATGCACGCCAAGACGCATCCAGATACAGCAAGGAGATAAAACCTCAAGATGGCTGTTTCTTGTTTTTCACCTCGGGAAGCACTGGTGAGAAATGTCGTTTTTTTAAATTACCTACTTATTGTAATATAGAACGATCAATTTTGTTTGGTAATCCGTTTAATATGTATCTATTTAGGTATAATCACTATAATATCATTATAAGCCTATTTATTCGTTAGAATAATTATGAATTACTAGCTTTCGCCAGCGGCTTCGCCCGCGTGGTATCTAAAGAAATGTTTAGTGGGATAAAAAGTATCCTATTATCTAAGTCACGTAAGCAAGTAAGCTTACCCTATATGTATACCAAATTTCATCAAAATCGATTCAGTAGTTTATATATTTATCTACCTCCTCTCGTTATGTTGATATCCGATAAATAGGTATAAGGTACATGATAGCAATAAGACATTACCAATTATTCTAATATTAATGAAGCAAGTTTAAAACAACATACTATTTATTTATGTTCTTGCTATTGAAAATGGACTATCATTAAGTTCAGAGCCTCAATTCTTCTGAAGTAAACGTAATATAATGGGGAAACACTTGCGCTTCATAGCAACTGTTTTTCTATTTAAGTCTTGTTAATAGATCACAAAATATCTAACATTATTGATTCCTCAGGCAGATGCTACAATGGCAAAATATAATTGATTTAGATGTCATTGAGACGTCATTATTATATTGACATATCGTAATTCAGCCCTAGATTGTGAATGTTAAAAACTACATAGTTACAAACCGAAACTATAACGGCAAGGTTAGGCGTAAATATTAAATATTGGCCTCTACCTATCTTATTACGTCCGTTAATGAGGTAGATATGGTCAGAGATGTTACACCCTGTTTAAATAATTGTGAACAGTTCATATGAGGTTTTTTTACAGGTCACCCTAAAGCAGTTTTGGACTCTAATTTCAGTATTGTTAATAACGTTTACTCAATTGGAAAACGTAACACTTTTAATGAAGCTCATCATAATGTTGGCGTACAGGTACTTAACATCTATTCATTCTTAAAGTTGGTTCTAAATAAACATCCAATCTTATTATAAACTCGCAGTTAACATTCGCATTAGTTATCACAAGTTATATGACGTAAATACATAATGTCGCGACACCATGTCCTCATAAGTAAGTTTCACATGAACTAATATCAGTTTCGTTAAACTTGTTTTATCGTGCAAAAGACTAAATTTGCAATGTAAATTCAGCTCAAACGATATGTATCGCTATCCATAGAATTCTGCATCGTTTCTGTATCTTGCACCTCGAACATACAATAAGATACTTCATAATATTAAAAATCAATAGTTTAAGTACATTTAAATTAAAAATGTTATTGGATAAGGCTTATTAGTGTTGATGAATTTATAAATGATAAATTTGAATGATAATATTTATTGTATTTTATACTATTTAATTGATTTCACATTAAAAATTTGTTTTAATCGGTGATTTATGATCATAATAATATTTTTTTAATTTATATAAGACATTTTTTTTATTATAACTTTGCATGCCAAGTGGCGAAATACGGCATAAGTTTGACCTTTTTTTACGTAGAGGAAATGCTTTATGCACTACCTCTGCCGGCTGCTATATTTGCAAATAAATGATTTGATTTGATTTGAATGTGTCGTGGCTGATCCCATTCCGTACAACAACATGATATAGAGTTCTATGTATGATGGCGATTGATATCGTTTACTTTTAGCGGTCATATTATTTTGGGTCAATGCCTCCTTTTTGCAGTCACCTTTGTTCCACGCATTGGGGTCCGTAGTCACGCTGCTGGCAGGTTTCAGCCATGGCTCCACCGTAACCCTCACTTCATCGACCTACAATGTTGCTGCGAATATCGAAGCGATATACAAAGAGAAGTAAGCGATGGTATACCAAAATTTAATTCTATGATATTAAAAGACTTTATTCATACGTTCTATCATTTTTAGGATTCCATACCCAAAGGTTAAAAAACGGGAACGTCCGTCTTATCAGATTATACCTCATGAAATTTTCACAGATGATATATTATTGTTGCCGCTATAACAACAAATAATAAAAAATACAACAAATGTTTTATCTCGTTTCCAGTAGGGGAGATTGGGGACGCTTGATCCCCGCTTTTGTTTTTTGGCCCTTATTTTGTAAATATTGATCTGATTTTAATTATTTTTGTACTAAAATACGTGAAATTTTATTGGCTATACTAAGTATTGTAGCTAATGATATCGGTATAAAAATAAAATAACCAGCGTACGAAAACTTCGTACAGAAAATGATATCAAGTGTCCCATATATATGTCTGACTTGATCCCCACTATGTGGAACACTTGATCCTGGCAGGACTAAGTCGCCCACATATAGGATTATATGATGCCAATACAGAAGAAAATGAAAAATATGTTAAAAATTTATTATTTTTATTTCAATATCATTGATTTATTTCCTTAGTAGTAAATGGTGGTATAGCATTTATACAAAACTCCCCACCATACCATCACACAAGCCGGGTGATGAGTGCGCGAGACATTCCGTGCAGAAGCTGGGACATCCTTGCTTATTTTAGCGTACATTTTATTGTTTTATCGGTTGGACTTTTCTTTGTCAGTAAAAATTTTCTCGACAGTGAAGAGTATATTCCTGGCATCATGTCTCCTCAATAGTAATAGAAAGCGTTTGCGTCGTAACTGACAAAGGCGATCGTTTAAAAAGTTAACTTTCCTATGGCTATAGGCCTCTTAATAACAACATTAATAACCTTTAGATCATATTTCAGTATTCTGTTCACTGAGACGTGCGAAATAATAGTCTCATGGCTCACGGGAAAACTTTTTAGCACGGGGAAAATCTGCATCGGTTTTTTTCCCGCCTTAAATAGTAAAATGTTAAATAGTAAAACAGTTGGACATAATTGTTTCGTGCCCCCATCAACAAACAATTAAATTTGCGATACAAATAAACTAAAAGTTAACATTTCAAATTCAAAATCGGTAAAAAAAATAACAGCCAGTAACATTTTGTTTTATTTTTCAGTAAAAAGTTTTTTCTTGAAACTTATGAACACACGAGATACATGCTACATTTTTTTGGCTTATGAACTATAGTAATACCAGTTTCGTCTACGTTCCAAAGTTGGTCGGAACCAAAATTATAGCGCTGCAATAAGCTTTTCAAATTTTCAAAGAAATTTTTAACGTTGTGTCTGTTAAAAACTGTGGCGCGAGACAAGCTAGTGGCTTCGGGTACATGTAATGATAATTCTTTGTATATGCATATTTAATCCTAAAATTATATTTAAAAAAGTTAGGAGACATTAATCCAGTGGGATCATATCTCCCATAAGAAAGTGTACCATGTGTACCCTAGGTATAAAAAAAGATTTTACAAAAATCTATCAATGTTAACACTTTTCTATAAAACAGATGTTTACTCACATAGATAACGACTAATTTAAAAGTGATACATATCCAAAATTTTACTAATCAATTATCGAATCAAAGTAAAAACATACAAAAAATATTTTTCTGCAACACGAAACACAAAAACATCTGCCATTTGCACAACTCTCAAATTTTACAGGAGTGCTAACTTTAGAAATGGAGAACGACCCAAAGACTACAAATTTTGCCAATCTAAAATTATTTAGTGTTTACAGAAGCTCTGGAAATCCATTGTATCTAGTCTCCCGTAAGGATCAAGTGTCCTCAGTCTCCCCTACGGAACTCTCATGCGCGAGTACAACTCGTACTGAATCGTTTTCTTCTATCATTGATAAACTACAGTTGGACTGTGAGAGAAAGCTCTATTTAAAGTAAAAGCTACTGCTTATAATTATAAAAAAATATATGTAAATAAATAACCATATTGCTCGAATATTGTCTATTGCTTGAATATTTTTTTTCAGGTGTACAGCAATAACAGGCACTCCAACAATGTTTATAGATATGTTATCACAGGTAATATATGAATCGAAAACCAGTATCTTTTTCCGTAAGATTTTTTGTCATTTTACTTAGAATATTACTAATTTATGATGCAACATTCACACCCGTTTCCATTAACCTAGAACAAGGTATAGCTTAACTAGAAAACGCCTAATTTTTTACTTAGTTTAATTCTTAATAAACATATTTTCCTTTCATCCCTTGACACATATCGTGATCTGTCACATAACGCTAACGCCTAGCGCAAGGCGCCATATAACGCAAGTCATAACTTTAGAATTTGTTTAATGCGGTTATGTGGTTCCTAGTCACTAGTGAGATGCGAATCCTTAATATTCAGGCGACAGATTTGGGCGACTCCTAAGTTTAATGAAAACGGGCATATGTACTTAACATTCTTAAAAATAATAAGTCAAATCTTGTTTTGTTCTCTAAAATTTATTCCATGCATTATCTTTATGTAACCCTTAATCTTTGTTTAGAGGTACCTTTATATAAACCGTTAATTTAAATTTACAGGTTAAAGCCACGGGTACTCCACCGCCATATTTAAATATAGCATTGGCAGCCGGCGCGCCGTGCAGTCCGCAGCTGATACGAGTTATGCAAAAATATTTGAACGTGCAATCTGTGAAGGTTCGTAATGTATAAGCTTAAATTCTTATGGTTAGTTGCAACAACTTACTTTAGCAATAACGGACATGTTAAAATACCAGTTAAGCAAATAATAATGAGTTATTTGGCAATGGTTGGAAGACGCCATAACTTTACCTGTAAACTATAACCCCCTATGTTTCGTTGGTTAAAGTTATTATTATACTATGGCAACTTCATATGCCAAAAAAGAGGATGGTGCAACGCCTTCCATAGTAAATATATTTTACAGTGGAAACGAGACCAAAATAAAGAGAATTATTTCAGTTTTCGCCCACTCAAGACAATCAACGCACGTCTGTGACGTGGATGAAATCCGCCTGACAATGAAACCTCTTTATTGACGCCGTTTTGTCACGCAGAACAATGGAAAAAATATTTTGTCTGGCTAATTTAGAAACTGGAAAAACATATGCAGCTACCCCTTTATCTTAAGTGCCTTTACTTTGATGAAGGTGCTATCTGTAATCCAAAATATAAATAAATCAATAATCAATTATTTTAAAGGTATTGCAATATGTTTCAAAACATTCGGCAGTTCAAAGTATACTTAAACATAATTAAAGAATTCACTTAAGTCCCGTTTTACCATTTGGATACGGAACCCAAAAAAGTGTGTTTTAATATTGTGGATTATTAATTATTAATATTAATTTTATGCATTTCAGTGTCTTTACGGATTAAGTGAATCGACAGCGTCCATATTCCAATCGATGCCTGGTGATAGTGTGGACACAGTTGCTGAGACTGTCGGCTACTTGCAGGATCATCTTGAGGTTAAGGTTGGTACGACGACAGTCAAAAAGATACTAGTATAGGGAGCTCAAGAATCAAACAGAAAGAAGGTCTCTTAATATTTAATAACTAACTGTTCCCACAATATCACAATATCATCATTATCAGGCCTTTTACGTCCCCAATGCAGGGTCTCAGACCTTCCTTATGGATGGGTAAGGAGGATGGGCCATGACCCTCCACGCTGGCCCAATGCGGATTGGAGGGCATTAACGACTGAAAATTCAGCCGGGACCAACGGCTTAACGTGCCTTCCGAAGCACGGAGTAGCTCGAGATAATAATTTTTTGGTCACCCATCCCGTGACCGACCCTTGCGAAAGTTGCTTAACGACAACGATCGCGAGCCGCGGCGCTTATCCACTACGCCACCGAGCTCACAATATCCCCCACATTAATTATAGTCTAAATCACCCGTATGCGATGTATTTTCCAGAAGGTTAAAGAATATTCATGATTGGGTCAGTACTTCCCAAGATTACTCCCTAAAACAAACAAATAAAGTTAGAAACTTGACCTTTTCATAATATTAATATAGGTAATTAAAAAAAAGATTGTAAATGGTCAAATGTCATAATAATAAGTAATGGTAAAACAAAAGAGAAAGTATTAAATTATGAATTGAGTTAATGTGACATACGTTACTTATTAGTATATTGGGCTTATTCTACGTTTCAGAAATAAGATGCCCTGAAGGACTAATAAGTAAAATAATTAAAACTTTTTACAGGTAGTAAATGATAAAGGGAATACAGTTCCATTCGGTACAGCAGGCGAGCTGTTATCCCGAGGCTACAACAACATGATTTGTTATTGGCAGGAACCTGAGAAAACCAAAGAAACACTGTCCGAGGACGGGTGGCTCAGTACCGGGTACTTACACGTCAGATGATACAATTTCTTAAATAGTTAATTCTTCCCAAATATTTTCTCATCATTTCTTATTGTTCCTACAAACTTTCCTGTTTTTATTAACGAGCTGTTTTCGCGCGACTTCGCGCGCGTATATTATAGCCTATGTCAACTGCGTATGATGTCTAATAGTTTCAGAACATATATTTGATGCAAACAAACAAACAATACAATTTTTCCTCCTTATAATATTAATAAAGATAAAATGAAATTTTTAGTATTTTAGTTATATTTTATCATCCGGTTGGATAAACGTCCATTAAAATTCTTATTATTTTACAAACACAAAAGGGGTCATCCATTAATTACGTCACACTTTAGGAGGGGGGGGGGGTGACGAACTGTGACGTTAGAACCATATTTAGTGGAATTTATATAGATAAATAGGTGACAGCAGGGGGGGAGGGTTATAAATCCTGAATTTTGTGTAACGTAATTTTGACTCTAAATTAGTAAATGTTCGGTTTCTATATTTTATGCTTGCTATAAAAAATCAAGCTTCGATAATTTTCATAGTGTAAAGTTTATAGTTACCTAATTGAATATACATATGAGCAAATTTGGTGATGTTGATAATACAGTCCTCAAATGTTTTTCTTACCAGTGACGAATTCAAAATCAGTAAAGACGGTTACGGGCGAATAGTTGGGAGGATCAAGGACATTATAATGAAAGGAGGCGAGAACATAGCTCCGAAAGAGATAGAAGACGTCCTCAACACACACCCTGCCATCATTGACAGCCAGGTAGCGTTAAATATTCTTCTTATTTTTAATTAATGGCGTTGCCCTTGTGTATTTCGCCAGAATCCAGTGCTTCGCTCAGTTTACTTCATATTTTAGTATTTTATAAACTCTAAATTTTGCATGTTGGTTGTGAAAGCCCAATTTTGAATTTCGTTGAAGTTCTAAATATTAACCAACCAAAGAAGAATTCGCGAACCGCGGGTTATTTGAATTTCCTTGAAATCAGATTGATTCAAATTGTGAGTCAACGTTGTCCTTCCTGTTTTGTAAAAAAAACAACGTCGAACTCAATATCAAGCACAGCGCTTTCACAGCTTAGAGTTTCAACCAAATAAAACAAACATCAAAAGGTAATAGAGGTTTTATTTATATGAACCTCTATAGTATATAAACTACTGTATTTTTTTAATAGAGAAGCAAACTAGTATCGACTACAGAGTAGGTACTGCAGAGCATTTTGTAAAAATCAAGACCCGAAATCACGTAATTTAATGTAGAAATTCTATTGATTCCATTTTTAGTATAAAAATACAAAACAAGATTGATTAATTCATACGTGTCTCATATATTCTTTTCTTATGGCATTTCACTTATGCCACGATACATTATAACCATTTCAAGAAAAGTCGGAAATCTGAGTGAATTCGAATTCGGGTTAGGATTTTTACAGAATCGCAGGGTTGTATTGTTAGATGCAGTGGGAATCAGTCTGCTCTGGACTACTTAACTTTGTCCATTTTCTTTTTTTACAAATACTGTATATTGATTTTTCAATGAGTATGTGTGACTCGGCCATCTGCATATTAATCAGTAATCGCAATAGATATCTGTTTTGTTATTTCTGATATCGTAATGGAAAGTGACTTCATAGTCTAATGTTCAAACGTCTCTGTATGACATAAGACAAAGGAAAAAAGTAGCCTTTGCACTTTCTTTCCTGTTCTTCTCAGTACAAGGTCTCCCGCCGTAGATTTGCGAACCGATGGCATAATTTTCTTTATTCACGAGTACTTGTAACAGCCTAGACTGAATATATGATATTGAATTTGAACAGTGTGTACGTTCAACACATGGAATTGAATCAAAGGTACTCAACGTTCAAGGGAATCGATGTTGGTGTAGTAACACGTGGTATAGCCTCATTTACACTGATCAATAGGATCGCTCATCTCATTGGTCAATCGATCAATGAGAGCGAAGAACAACGGATGTCAACCAGACCCAGCCCTTTAAGGAGGGACAATTGCCAGGGGAGCCAAAATTATGATAATAAGTATAATACATTAAAAAACAAGCTTTACAAAATGTTTTTTTTAATTCATAGACATAGGCTAAGATGGGACGGAAATCTTTTCAAAGTCCCTAAATTAAATTTACAATTCAAAATATGGTAATAAAAAATATATGGGGCAAGGGCGCAATATCAAGTTTCTGCCTCGGTTAATAACGCCACTGATTAGAAAATTTATCTTATACAGATTAAGAAGTTTATAATATTGATTGTACATCTAGGTTATAGGTGTTCCAGACGATAGGCTGGGTGAAGATCTGTGCGCAGTACTCAGACTGCAACCCGGTTCCAAGGTGACTGCAAAAGATATCTCCGACCACCTCAGCGGAAAGCTAGCGAGATTCAAGATACCGAAGATAGTGAAATACGTAGATGAATACCCAAAGACTGCGTCTGGGAAAGTACAGAAGTTCGAATTGAGGGACATGATAGCTTCCGGCAAGCTTTAAATGACTTGCGACCTGTTGCACAAACGTCCATCGAATTGTCAATTTAAAGAGACATTACCGATACAAATATTCAAATTTAGAACATAATTAAAGTTTGAAGTGGACGACCTTAATGGATGTTTGTGCAACTGGGTGTTAAATGGGTGACAGACGTGGGAGTAATTACTCGAACTCGCTTTTGTGTCACTTTAAGTACGCGTACTTTCCGTATGTAAAAAGGTCCTCGAGCCACAAATTCGCGTACTTACTCGCACGTCTGTCACCCACTTTAGAGTATTATACTTGAATATAGTGAGATGTTTTAAGATAAAAGTTACATAAATAATAACTGCAGTTATATATTAAAAGCACAGACATTATACTCTAATTTAAATCTCCGTTATAAGATAAGAATGCGACCAATTTGCTTTGGCAAAGACAGATAATAAGATTTCGATGGCGCAGTGATTAGCCCGTTCGGTATGAAAGATTAACATCCAACTTTTTAAAAGGCTGCTCAAAAGATGGGGTGCCAATTTTTTCTCGAGCTCCTCCGTTCTTCGGAAAGCTTCAGAAACCGGAAAGTAGAAGAAAGTGCAATGAAAATAAAAATTATAAGCTCTGGAATCGTGTGTAAAAAATATTTATTTAATCTTAATTTATCGAAAAGGAAATTTTGTGAAAGTAGTCTTTAAACGTAATTTTAGTAGGTAAGGTTAACATCAAATAATGTCAGTATAATTTATTTAAAATGCATTTTTCTTTTATTTTAATTACAGTCACATTTTCTTCAATTCTATGTTCGTGTTAAGATCTGCACAAAGCAATTATTTGTCCACACACGGTATATCAACATCAATGTGCTAACTACATTATCAGCACAAACCTACAACTACCTTGATAACTTATCCCAGGCACATTCAATTCAGCTGATAAAACAATATTTTTGTCTGTTTTCACACAATAAGATTTCGTTGTACATATCGTTTCTTAAATTTCTCGTTCCACATCATCTGTAATAAAAAAATAGCAAAGTATTAATCAAAATATCACTATTCAAATACACTATAGTACTTTTGATTTTTTTTGTCTGCCACTCGTTCAGAAAATCGAAGCTGACAAGAAGAACGAGCAAATGAAACTAATTAGCTCAAATATAATAATAATAAACAAGGGATTATCGTAATGACGAACGATTTAGTTGGTAATATTCCTAAAGAACCTAAAAATTTACTACAATTAATCAATGTAATACACAGGATGTTTGATAAAACTAATTCTTTTGAATGTCCCTTGCTGTAGAAATCCAGAGGCGTTACATGTAGCATATTGTTAGAAAGGGAAGCATATTTAAAGAGGTAAACTATTTAAAATAAAATTAATGCCCGTTTTCACTAAACTTAGGCGTCGCCCAAACATGTCGCCTAAATAATTAGGAATCGCCTAAGGTAAAAATGCATTTCACCATTGAGAAGGAACCACCTAACGAAATTAATAAACGTGTAAATTTAAGATATTCATTACGCAGCGACTTGCTCATTTGCGTATATGGTTATAAATATGTGAAGTGATAAAAGAATCAAATATTTATTTGAACTTAAACTAATCTGCTTAGGCGATTTATAATATTAAGCGTTTCATAATTAAATTACGCCTGTTTTAGGTTAGTAAAAATGGTTATAATACAAAAATACATATGTATTAGTTTCTTAAAATAAAAGGAGTCGGAAGCATATACAGTTTTATCATAATTGTATTAAATAATGATTGACTTAGATATATATACATCGAAGAATACAACCAAAATTGCTTTTTGTTATTTTTCAGACAAACACAAAAGTTAATATTTTGGGTAATTTCATAAAAACAATGAAAGAAAAACACATTAAAACAATTGAGACACTTGGTCATGAGGGGTTAAAACGTAGGTAGGATTTTTTGAACATTAGTAAATAATCAATCTAAAACAACTTAAGCATATTTATTTATATTTTAATTATACATATCTGAAATATTTTTATCTTTGAAAGAAATAAAACCAACTTCCATAAAATGAAAAATAATGGCAGATCATATGTCTAAGAAACATCTGCCGAAGTCTGGCGGACGTTTTCTATAGGACCATTTTTTGAAATCGGTTTTATTTTAGTAATTAAAAAGAAAACATGTTATTTTCAGTGGTACTATTGTGATCATAAAGTGAAGTGTTTTGTTTATAAAATGTAAATTCTTTTTTTATATTCCGAAATCAATTTATCCCCTTCAAAGTAATCCTCGTCCGATAAAACGCACTTTTGCTAACGCTTTTTCCAGTCCTCGAAATAATCGGAGTAATCTTTTTCCGATATAACTTTGAAACCTTCTACGATTCGGTTCTTATCTCGTTACCGCGTTGGTCTTTTGAGTTTGCTGAATATCCAGAAGTTGCACGGTGTCAAATCAGACGTTTACGCTGGTTGTGGAACGATATGAATCGAATAATTGGCAAAAAAGTCTCGAAGAACCAATACAGTATAACCATGTAGCATGCATTATCGTGATAAAGGAACCAAGAGTTGTTCGCCCATAATTTCATCCATTAACGAATAGCCACACTTAATGACATTCCAACACTATCATCGAGGTCTCATGTCAATCTTTGTTTTTTGGACGAGGACCTCGTTGGTAGACATTGATGGTCGTTCAGAGCGCAGTTCGTCTTCAACGAGTGCTCGGCTCGCTTTGACCTCGTTGTACCACTAGTAAACGTTTTTTTTGCCACAGTTTCATCACCAAGGCACGTTTTCAACGTGTCCGCACAAGAATATTCGTTCCACAAATAAAATTTGATGCAAGTTCATTGCTCAATGATAAAAATGACTGGGTAAAAAAAATGCAATTCCATTTAGTCCGTCAGTCAGATAATAGAAAAATATTAGATACGTATTTTTTTTTTTACTTCAAATTAACAAGAAATAGCTTAGATAACAGGCATTAAAGTTGAGGAGTGGGGGCTCCCTACGTCACAGTTGAGTAGAAAACGTACCCTAACGTGACGTCATGCGAAATTTCAACTCAATGTAACGCCGTAATTTTATGTTTACGAAAAAAATAAAAATCATCATCCCTATTGTTCCCATTAGTTTGTTATGAAAAATAAATTGCTCTGAAATATCTACGAATATATACCCTTTGAAATAATTTTGTAAACCTTCGATTCGCGGAGAGAGAACATACATAAAAAACACAACCAGTCGAACATAGGACCTCCTTGTTTTTGATTCTGAAGCAAATAACAACGTAACTTATACCAACACGTGATATTTTTTAACGAGTTAATTAATGCGACTTATAACATTTTAATTACCTTAAGAGCTTTCCTAAATTTAGTGGACATCAAGCTGAAAAGTATTGGATTGAGCACAATAGAGAACCAGCTGTTGATGGAACTGAG